TAATAGTAGTAGTAGTAGTAGTCGTAGTAATGGTAGTAGTCGTAGTAGTAGTAGTAGCCGCCGTAGTGGTAGTGGTAGTGGTACTAGTAGCAGTCGTCGTAGTGGTAGTCGGTGTCAATTAGGTCCAACCTGGCATGCACGCTGGGTGAAGGGGAAAGGAATCCGCAGCTTTGAGTCATTTCTCTCGGCCATTTGTCACGAAAGCTAGCGAAGCTAGCTGGAGTTACTCTTGCGATAGCAAGGTTTCTTTCGACCGGGTGCAAATCCTAACCCCTGATTTTTCAGGTCGAAGACCCCCCCCCCCCCCCCCCCCCCCCTCCCCCCCTCTCCCCTCTCCCCACCCCACCTCCCCTCTCCTCCTCCTTGTCTTCCTCTTCCTCCCACCTTCCCTCCCTCCCTCCCTCCTCCCTCTTCGCAAGTTGGACTCCGTCCTGTCGTCGCTCTTTGGCATGCGGTTAGCGTTGCGTATCTTGCGGCCGCACTCGCTCACTGTCTCACTGTCTCACTGTCTCACTGTCTCACTGTCTCACTGTCTCACTGTCTCTCTGTCTCTCTCTCTCTCTCATCTCTCTCATCTCTCTCATCTCTTTCTCATCTCTCTCATCTCTCTCTCCTCTCTCTCTCTCTCTCCTCTCTGTCTCTCGTCTTTCCGTCTCTCTTCTCTCTCTTCTCTCGCAGGAGGATCCGGGCAAAGAGCCACATATAAAGGACTCTTCACCCCTGCCTCCAAAAAGAGCGCCGTGTTTTTTCCTACCTCGCTGCCCTCCACTTTCCCATTCTGGAGCGCTAGCTTTCGCCCCCCCCTTGGCCTCAAGTATGATCATGTATGATCAAAGATAAGAGAGATAAGAGATTCCAGGGTCACCCCAAGAGAGTGGGGGGTATTCTGGACTGGGGTTCAGCAATTGGGCACCCCGAGATCGCAGAGAAGCATTGTTGTCGAGGGAACAAATAAAACCAATGTGAAATTAGCATATATTTTGTATCAAACAGTATTTTGTTGTGGCCATCGCAAGTAGGTTGTAGGCCATTGCTGTTAGGTTGTTTTCTGTTGGGTTTCTCTCTTAGGAAAAAGGGCTGGCCACAGATTTGGCCGTGGCCCGTTTTTCCGTCCGTCCTTCCTTCACAGCCTAGCCTTGTCCGGGTGCCGTGGGCCCAAGAAACGTCCAAAATTGCCCTGCAGTATCCTGCAGTGTATTTTAGTAGTAGACCGTATAATAGGGGTATTTGTCAAACAATATCTTTTTGGGTCTTGGACATTTGCTTAGTAGTGCTTCCGATTGTTGAGAGTCATCGCATCAAATTTTTCCTTCAAAGTCCAGCATGTTGGCGTTCTGCACGAAGTACTTCTCTTTTCTAGGATAACTCCCCCTGTGCTGGTGAAGTGCAGCATACCTCCACAAACTTGGAAGCGCAAATCCCAAAGATGAACGTCACTTTTTGGAACACCCCCGAACGACGTTCACCCTTCACCGTCTGTGTTCGCGGCTAGCGCGTAGCGCACCTGGCTGGGCCTGGATAACATGATGTTGACATAGCAAGCTATCAATTGATTAAACAACCTAACCTATAAGAGAAAAAAACTCTCAATTAGCCGTTTTCAGAACGTTTGTTCATCACGTTGTTCCCAGTCATTTGATCAACCCTGTGATGCCCGTGCCTCTAAAGAACCTGGCTCCCACTATTTCGTCACCTGACGCGCTCGCTCAGCCAATGTGGCGGACGCTCTTCGCTGCCATCGACCTCAATGGCGACAATGTCATTGACTTCGAGGAATGGCTGGGGAACGCCACGTGACACTTGGCAGGCTTCAAAAACCTTCCCAACAAGTCAGACCTTCCTGGCGGGTGACCTGCAGATACATCACAACGGGGTGAAGGTTTCGTTCCACAACACAGGCGACTGTGGCGACCTTTCTGACGCCATCCATGTCCTTGATCAAGTTCACGACCAACACGGCCAAGGTGTAGGGCCCACGGCAGTGAACAGAACAACACGAAAAAACTTCAACATCTATCCACGCGCAGCTGAGTGCGGCTTAAGAATTGGCACTGTGAGCCAGACTCATCCACGTAAGGCCGCCAAATCGGTGAATGAGCCAGATTGGGCCGGTTGGGGGTGGGGATTTTCCAACTGGCCATCGATGGTTGGCGAACTGAAACTCAACTTGGGGGGCAGTTCTGACCTTCCCAAGTGATACTGTAAAATATGATATACCTGATTGTTCCTATAGGTGAACTGATCTCAGATTCTACAACCCGTGGGGTTGAAATGATCGTAAAAATCGGATTGATTTCCGAAAAGGGTGTTCTGTCTTTGAATCATAGTGTCTTTGAATCTGGTGGTTCCGGTTAGGGAACCCGCAGGAGAAAAAGGGGTCGAAGAACCGATGCGCGAGGAATTCTTGACCTTCGTGACACAGCTGAAGCGTGGTGGCGCCGAGGCGTTGTGATGTGTGGAACGCCGCTGTTGGTGATCAAGTCTGGGGCGGTCTTCAAACGTACTATTAAGAACGGGAGGAGAGGAAAGGGGGGGGAGATAAAGGGGGGCTTGAAGTCGAATCGTATCATCAATGACAATCTTGGGGCATTGAAAGCATGTTTCGACCTAAAAAACCCAGACATCCCGAAATCGATTGGTCGATGAACAAACGACCGACCCGTTTTTCGATGGCCTCCCGCGTCAAGGAATTCAGCTCAAGGGCCCTGTACAGGTTCGTCTCAGACCCCGCGGGGTCATCGAAAATCCTCTCAAGAAAGAAACGATGAAAGCATGAAGCAGACATGGTTCATGGCAAGTAGTGGTCAAAATGGTGAACTGATTGAGTTTGCCATGTCCTGAAGATGTTGAGCGATCGATAGATTCAGGTTCTGTTGGGTTCACAGCATGAGCAGCGTAGACCAGTAGGAGGCTTGAAGGCTTGGAGAGACATTCTAGCTAGGAGTACCTTTAAACATAGTGCGATGCCATCTGGCCGACTAAACGAGCTAACGCCTCCAACGCGACTGAATGGCGAACCTATCCGAGCAGAGAGAGTGTCTTCAGTCATCAAGCAGAGAGAGAGAGAGAGTGTCAGTGGAAGGCCTTGGCCCTTGTATAATTATTTTGGGTGTTTGGGCATGCCGCATAGCCTATCTACTACATCTACACTCGCTTTTCTCGCCAGGTGTAACTTGAAACAAAGAGCAGAGCAGACAAGAGACTCTTTACATCCTTTCACCCTTTCACCCTTTTACGCCTTTTGGGATGAGGCGCCAGGTGTTGCATCCTTTTCGATGTCGGACCATCCCTCTCACCCACCGGGCGCCGAGAGCGACGAGAGCTTCGCTGAAGCTCTCGTCGCTCGCGCCGGACCTGATCCTCCAGGCGAAGCGGCGCCTTTGCTTCCGGCTGTTTGACTCGAATCAGGATGGCTTTGCTGAGAAGGCAGGTGGAGACATAGTGGAGACCAGAGCTGGAGAGAGAGAGAGAGAGAAGTGATTTTTATAGAGCTGGAGGTGCCTCCATTCTCTTTCATTTATTTTCTCAGGGTCAGTAAGGGTCCTGCGAGTTTTTGGATGGACCCAGATGCAGCTGCTTCGGATGTTTCAAAGATTCACTTCTTCTGGGTTTTGGGTCTCAGAGATGATCCTTGGTAAGTGGGAGAGAACCCACAGGTTCTCTGTTTCTTTCATTCTTGGACACCTACCTCATCCTACCTACCTCCCATGGACGTTTTCCCCTTTGTGTTGGCATACCGGTCCTGTGGAGATTGTCGTCCCCTGTCCTTGGGAGCCACCCCCAAAAGGATCAAGGCTGAGCACCAAGCATGCTAACACAACGAAGCTCGAATCTCAGAATAACCACAATGGCGTCACTGTGATCACCATGAATCACCATGAATCACCTTGACTGGCACCCAATCACCACCCCAAGACCGCGCAGATGTGCCCAAGCGCCTGTTTCTGACGAGACAACTTGGAATCCTCTACACCTCCGCGGACTGTGAATTGGTGATATTTCAACCTCCATATGAACAGGTTTATGACATTTTACTACGATCTAAATGGGGGCGGTTGACTCATGAACAGTCTACAGTCTAAGTGGCCATGGCCACCGAAACGAAACAGTGAGCGAAGGCCGACTTCCGTTGCATCTTGGAGACGAAGCTGGCGGTGCTCAGGTGGCCGTACCTCGCGTTCGATCCATGGACGTTGCATTCGGGTAAGTGCCACAGCGAACTGGGAGTTGCTGGTGAGGAAGGCTTGGGTTCGCAGAAAAAACGAGAGACCACCAAACTGAAAAGACGAAAATAGATCGGTTCATCCAAAAAGCCCCTCAAAAGCTCTTTTGACGCAGTGGGGTCCTTGAATATGTCACTATAAAATGGCTATCATGTTCCTTTATGAAATGCAGTTTGCAACCCAATTTTGTAAAGCACACAGTGGGTATGCTCAAAATTAAGGGTTGACTAAAAAAACACGTGGAACATGTCACTTAGCTAAGATGGGAACCGGGTCGAATCATTTTATAAACAGAGCTTGTCATTTGAACCCGTTCGCATCGTTTTACAAAAATGCATTACGCCGAATAGACTTTAAACACGCATATGCAAAATAGGTTTGGTTTAGCATTTTATAGGGATTTCATCTCGTTCCGACCATTCTATACAAAATATGGAGGACCGCAGCCCAAGCAGATATTTAACCGGGCATAAAAAAAACCAGAGGATAATATTGAACAACCCATGTGACCAGATAGCAGTACTGGTTTAATATGGGCCTCCAAACTAAGAGCGATGGCCTCGGAGTGTCAAGTTCCTCTCCCTGGACCCCACCAGGCGGCCCTTTGTCAGAAGCTTTCATGCTTCCAGGCGCCCCTCCTGGCAGACCAGCACCACTGTGGTGAGGGAGCCGAATTGCGGGTTTAGCCGATATGTTTTGTCACCAAACACTGCACCATGCCGGGCCATACATTGGCTGCAAGCGGGAAAACACCCTTTTACTGTTGGATATGTTCTGTTTTCGGACAAAACATGTTTTTCATTTACGGCTGGTCCGATTCTTGCCATCTTTGTCATACGCACTCACAAGTACGGATCATCATGTCGCCATGGGAAGAGAGACCAGATGGTCAGTCCTTGGACTGCCAGCCCTGGAAACATGAAGATGTGATCTCCAAGTAGGTGGCATTCTGGGTTGGCGAGGTGGGATGCACTCGTTTTCATTCACTTCCGTAGAAGGTCAGTGGGGGTCGGATCGCAGTGATGAAAGTCCGACTGAGACCATTCCACATGTAGGTCACTTCTACATTCCACGTCCCAGCCATCCCCCACCGTTCCAGATCGCCAGATCTGTTCGATCTGTTCTTTGCTTCCCATGAGCTTCCCACCTTTGCCCAGCCGCCGCGGGCCGAGGCCTCGAGCGGCACGGAAGCGCCCGACGAGTGACGAAACCGGTGAAGGGGTCGTGGGGTGGGGGGGAAGGGTCCGAGGCGGAGTGGAAGCAGAGGGACCCAAGCCCTAGAAGATCTAGAAGTTCAGTTCGATATTTTGACGGAAGTAAAAGGAAGTTCATAGGCTTCGTGGTGACAGGATGGTGGTCTACCTATTCCCGCAATGGTAGGTCTGCAGTCTACTGAAGTTGGGGAAACGAGAAGCAGCTTGAAGAACGTGTTCATGTTTGCAGCTTCTCAGCAAGACACCAGATAGAACACAAGCGTCAAGACTTGGTGGCTAGGTCGGGTGGTTTAAGACTAAGAGGGGTTGTGGGGGTTGTGGCCATCTTGCATGAAAACATTTGCAACCAAACATTTGGTTGAACCAGCCTTTTCATGGTCTTTCCCGACTGTGCTGCTCACGCTGGGCTTTGGCACTTGCAGGTCTTCGGTGATTTGACTTAGCTGTTTTGCAGAACGGAAAAACGATGAAAAACGCATAGTAGTAGTTTTCAGGACTGCAGTTCATTGCGCCGAACAACTGGACGGTGGCGCAGCAAAACGGCCTGGGAGGTACATGCAGTTTTTCAGTCTCTGCGACGAAGATTCGGATGGGCGGATCTGCTACGAGGACTGGTGGAGCAGCCAGATCCTGGCGCAGTGGGAGGGAGCTAATCATGGCTTGCAAGCAAGTTAGAACAGACCCTGATGGAATCTTCGGAGGAACCACTTTCAGAGTTTTGGGGCAAAACAGATGACCCACCCACCACCTTTCCCAATTTCTAGCAAGATGGATGCCCCACCTGGACCCACCTGTCAGACTGGGGGGTGTGTTGGCATGTGTTGCCCGAAGAATATCCTCTTCTCAACATGTTAGTCCTTTTCAGTTTGGGGAGCCCCGGACTCGCCCCGTCGTTCGACTCGCTGGAGGACTTTGAAACCTACTGCGCAGTTCATGGTGAAGGGATCGTGCCTTGGCAAATGAGCCGACCGAACGTGAGGATGGAGGCCCAACCAATGAGGTTCCACTCCGACGTCCAACTCCGACGTCACAATGGATTGAGCTGAGACCCTGGTTCTTTTTGGTGAAGAACACGGCCAACTGCGAACTCGACCCACTGCCAATTCCGCGGTTGACTGTTGACTGGTTGGCACTTGTTGGCACTTGTTCCGATGGAACTCCCTTGCTCTACCTGACTCTACCTCTCCACTTCAGAGCCTGCCCCAATCCGATTGGGGTGCACGCTGGCGCTCGGACGACCAGTGACCCGGCGCCCGGCCGCGCGAGCAGGTGCACCAGACCCTCAAGATCTTGGAGGTGATGTTCGACGGCGTGATCGAGGCGATTTGGGAAAGCACCACTCGTCCGCCAGCCGACGTGAAGAGGCTCCTTCTGAAATGTCTTCAGGTCTGAAGGTCTGAACTTCGATGTCTTTTCTTTCCTGGGCAGTTGGCTTTCAGTTTAGGTCCATGATTTGTAAAGAAGGAGAGATGAGTCAGACGTGGCCAAGTCACATCACACCCAAGCGTGGGATATCTCCTTGTTGTGTTTTAGAGGAGACGGGCATCATCATCACCGCCACCGACGTCCGCAACACCAAGCCGCACATCGACTGGCAGGACCGTCCGCGCGGGTCTGTGACGTTCGGTTCGCGTCCGATCGCTCCGTTCGAGTCGCGATGCCCAGTAGCCCCTAGTTTTACTTCATTCTTTTTCAGCCAAGCCGACCCATACTATGCAGGGTTTAGGGTTGCTGTGAAGGTACAAAGGTTTGATCACTCATTTACGGTGAATAGACAGCAAGACCAGCAGCTGCGTGAAACTTGGTTGTGGAGAAACCTCTTTCAAAGCAATATACCGTGTCCAATTCCTCATGATTTCTGTATCTCCCATCAAGCTGAACCCACCAAGCCAGCCAATATCTGCCAAAGCATATAAGTTTAGTGGTTCTTTGGCCAAGACCAGCTAGACCGAACCACCCTTTGGAGTGGTCATCCGACCTCATGCGATGAGTTCTGGACCCTTTGGATGAATGTGGTGATCCCCTTGTTGCCGCGGAGGATCATCGGATGAACATGGGGTCCTTGTTCTGCTGTAGTTCCTCTTCTCCTGCAGGGGGGGCCCGGATGCGACGTGACTCAGGACTGAGTGGAGTTCCACTTTAGATTCCACGGATCAAGTTGGTCCGAGCAACACATCAAACATCATCAAACAATATGAGTTAATATGAGTCATTTCTGGGGCCCCATCGCACAAATTTAAGAATTGGATCATCTTTTTGTGTTTGACAAGGTATAATTGCAGGTCTAACTCATCTAACTCTCCCCCTCATTGGTGTGGATGTAAACTTCAATCTCATTGTTTTGGGGAGAAGATTGAAGTCGGCTGGCTGCCGAGAGGAGCCAGGCAAAGGGCAGTGACTCCTTCGGGGGAAACCTGACCACATCCTGGGTTGGCCCTCCTGGGTGCCTTCTGGGCCCATGTGGACGTGGCGGTGACGATGGTTACGTGGATGGCACCACCTGTTTCGGATTTCATGGAAATCCGAGTCCTCGGGGCCATGCCTTCCAGGTCACCAGGAGCGATGGCCTCGTAATCGAGCCTTCGCGGCCTCCAAGGCGAAAGCGTCAAGTTTGGCCACGAAATTCCAGTGCTCTGCACCTTTTTGACCCTCACCTCCGAGCCATCGGGCTTCGCCACGGCTTAGTCCCCACGGCCTGGCGGTCGAGTGGATGGTACAGCGCGGTACGACCGCCCGCGCGGGACCGGTCGTCGCTTTCGCCTCTTCAGGTCTTCACCACGCCGCCGGTCGCGTGAGCTGCGCTACGAAGCGAGCATGAAGCTTCACGTGGCTGACCAGCGAGGGGATGGGCCGGGGTTGAGGCATGGCATTGGCATTGGATGACCAAGAGTTCTTGTGACCGAGCCTTAACTGGGCCGAGCCTGTTGGAGAATGAAGACGTGTTGACCCTGTTTACCAGCTAAGAGGACGTACAGTTTGCAAGCTACGAGTTTTCGTTGGCCAGTGGAAAGATCAGAAAAGATAGTAGACATCTCAACTCAAAAAGTGGGTGTGTGCATCCTGCATGCAGCTTTTCCATGATTTGGACAGCTTTTTCTCCGAGTGCGTGAAGCTTGTAGAAACCCGATGCCTTTCCTTGCTGATGTGACAGCAATTGGCTGTGCCAATGAATCATGTGACCCTGTGATTTGGCACTGTGTCTGGGAGACCATTTGCTATGTTCAATGACCCCAAAACAGGCCTTGGTTTTCTTTTTGGTTTCTTCATGTTTCTTCCAAACAGACATTCTACATGCCCCATATCAACAGGAACAATATTGTTGTTGCGAGTTTTCTTTGTTATAAGCATTATAGTACCGGACCGAAACTTAGAATGACGTTTTGGAAAGTGGAAACGATTTTTTTTTTGACGGGCTCACGGGCTAAAGACGTCATTCTAAGTGCACAAATGCGAAACTACAGTTAGAATGCCTACCCAGAGTAGGCATAGTAGTCCCCAAAAAACACCGGAGACCGCCAATTGCAAGGACTTGCACACTTAGAATGCGCTTTCATAGTTGGCAATTATCAACCGTTTATTTATATAGAGAAACCGCAAGCATAGAGTTGCAAGTGACTTGAAACATCGCCTGTCTTGGACCAAAGCATGACAATGCATGTTGGGCTGGCATCTACAATAAAAAGAAACATCGAAAATTCATATGGAATCCAATGACATAACCACATGCAGCTACTGTTTCACAAAAAGCTTTTTTGTTGGAAAGGAACCTTGTTTTTGTGCATCTAGGAAAGCACAGATAAGCACAGTGCACGTTGGGCTGGCAGGAACAATGAAAAGGAGCATCGGTAACCACATGCAGCTACTGTTTCACAAACCGGATTGTGTTGGCAAGGAACCTTGTTTTGGGGCATCTAGGTTTCTAATTTGCGCCATGGAAAAGCTGGCAAATGGATTGCTGCAGCGCGGGGAACCAGGACTTCTGTGGATGAAGTTGGAAGTGTTTATGTTTATACAAGCTTGTTGGTTGAGTTGTTTATGAAAAATAGAGCCCTTTATATATATATATTATACAGTCATTCGATGTATTTATCTGTGACGTTCCTAGTCGGTTAATTACTCTGCGTGGAGAATGCCGAATGCCCCCCAGTCAGGGCGCGATTGTCGAAACCAACAACCACCACTACCACCGCCATGTGAACCTCCACCAGATGATCTTGGGGAGCATGATCAAACAGCTGAGAGTGGCAATGGGGACCCCGTACCTTCTGAAGCAGACGGTGCGGCAAGTGCGAAACTGCCACCAAATGTGAAAGAACTTAAGAGCCAGCCACTTGTTCTGGAGTATTTTTTGGAAGTGCGTCTTTACACATATAGAGAGAAAGAGAGAGAGAGAGAGGGGGAGATTTGAACAAATACCAAAAGCATTCTATGTGTTCAATTGCTTGGCCTGGCCCTGTCTGCTGGACCATGCCGCAATCTCTCCACACTTGTTGCTGCATGTTACAACTCACACAAAGGAGATTCTTGCTGCACACGTGTACGCACATAGAGAGAGGGAGAGAAAAACAATCAAAAACTAATTCCATTTGTGTATATATATATATGTATAGTTTGAACAAAATCACACGTGGAATGTGTATGGCTAACACTTACATCACACTGTTTGGCCAAATTGGGGTCATTCTAACTGCACGTTTCCTAGGTACTCAGTGAATGTGGAAGGCAGCATTCGCAGATTCCAGGCGAGCCAGTATGGGACCATGGCTGCGGCCAAATCTGCTGCTTGCGCCTTCGACGCTGACGCGATGAAACTCATCACTCGCTTTGAGATCCACAAGGGGAAGGCGAGCATTTCTTTGATGTTGGGATTTGTTTATATCGACACATGCAAACATACAGATCGCTGAACAGGCAGGCATTCTTACTGTTTGCATCCATGCATGTAGCAGGCTCGGAAGGAGTGGCTATCAAAGGAGAAGATAGAACTCAAAGGGAGGACTTTGGCAGAGCAAAAGAGGTTTCTGTGTGAGCTGTGCTGTCGAGGGGGTGTCCGTCAGGGTCTTAGTTGTGTCACAAGCAGGTTTCTTTGCACAAGTGCTGGGAGTTAAATTTCAGTGTGTGTAGGGTTGCCGAGGCCAAGTTCTGATCAGTTCCCATTTCCAAATTGCGTTCTAAATTACGCTATACTTTATATATGTATGTATAAGTGTGTAAACGTTTGTATCTATATAGGTTCTTATTTTGAACGCCTTTCTCGGCTCCACATTTGCCAAGGATCTGTGGAGGGTGAGGTTGCAAGCAAAGCTTCGCCTTCCCCAAAGGGTTCCATCACCCTTGACCCGGACAAGTTCATGGGTTTTCTGGCCACCTATGACACTGGAGCGGAGCAAATTAAGAAAAGCTTCACCACTGTGACTGATTGCTGCACGTGGATCAACAAAATGGATGTTGCCACCACGGCAGGTGCTCTGCGCAAAGGACTAGATGCAGCATGCAGGGTGAAAGCTTGCGATTCAGCAGCCCAGCCAAGTCCCAGCTAAATCTTCCTTTTTTCTCCCACTTTCTCTATAGTAGATATATGCATACATATATATATATAATAAATAATAGTCATGTATATGTCCCTCCGTGTGCACGTGTTTGCTACTATATACATGCGTCAAAGAGCGTGCATGTATAAAATGAAGAGCATTCTAACTGTGTTTGTGTGTGTGCCTGTCAGGCAACCACACGGGCTACCCAATTTGCTCGTGGCTGTGGCGATGAGGATTTGACAGAGCTGGTGGCAAGTGGTGAGGTACCGCAAGAATCCTTACTCAGCAGAAGCACAGATATCACCAGTTCCCTGTTGGTCTGCCCCAAGCATTTCGGGCCACAAAAGCCTCCATCCACCACAGCTGTGCAGAAGGCTGCCATCATGAGCTTTCAAACGTGGGCCATTCGAGCTCCTGGCATAGTAGGGCTGATGCTTGGAAACAAGACTCCCAAGCGCAAGAATGGCCTCATCATTGTGGTAGCAAGGGGCTATGATGAGCTAATCGGCAGC